TGCTCTTTGATGACAAGTTCCTGCAGAAGCTCTGATTCTCTGAGTCTGGTGCCGTAATGGCTTCACATGTGATTAGACTTCAAATAAATTTCTATTGATTTTATACAGTCCTCTTCTGTTTTCACTTCTTGGGCTTTCAATTAAAGAACTGGGTCTAACAGTACTGTCCAGTTAAAGTAATGTAACTAATAATGAAATCATCATGGTGCCCTCCGAGGCAGACATGCTTGCGCGTTCCACTCTCGAAAGCCAGCTTTTTCTTCTTTATTGTGTGTTTTTTTACTCTTTCTGCAGTAAGCAAATTTCATGCTCTGCTAACATACAACAGACAGGCATTGCTGGATATCGCCAACTCACACAGCCACTGGGAATTTACTGGTTTTATACCACCGGAGCTACAACTCATTGTTCGCTCCCAGAACAACAACCACCATCACCCCCAAAGCATCAGGCACGAGCAAGCAGGCTGACCCCAGGACAGCGATCCAGAGATGCAGACACAGACGGGGCAAGAGAGGGGGGCTCCATGCTAGGCTAAAAGCTCGCACTACCCGACCGCCCCTACCCAGCCTCTTCCTAGCTAAGTCTCTGGAAAACAAATTGCATGAGCTAAGGGCTAGGATTACAACACAACGGGAAATAAGAGAATGCTGTGCTCTAATTCTCACCAAAACTTGGCTTTCTGACAAAATCCCAGATTCCACGATTCAGCTACAGACCCATTCTGTACACTGGGGAGATCACACTGCTGCTTCGGGGAAGGTAAAAGGAGGCGGTGTGTGTGGAGATGTACGGACTGTTTATAAGCACTGTTCACCAGACGTGGAGTTTTTATTGCTGAAATGCCGGCCCCATTATCGAGCAAAAGAGCATAGTGCTGTGTATGTTAGCCCAAGAGCTAATCCCTCGACGGCTCTCAGCAAACTCCACAGCGTCATCAGCGCGCTAGAGACAGCTCACCCCAATGCTATATTTATTGCTGCAGGCGACTTTAATCAGTGCAATCTACGGATTGTAAATATTACCAACATGTGAACATTCCCACCCGGGGCAAGAACACTCTGGATCACGTTTACAGTAACATACATGGTACATACAGGGCTGCACCCACCTCGGATGCTTGGACCACATTTCTTTGTTCCTGTATCCAGCTTACAGACAAAGACTGAAACAAACAAACAAACCCTGTCACCAAACAAATGAAACTCTGGACCCCGGAGACTGAGAGCACCCTGCAGAACAGTTTTGCCCAGACAGACTGGGATGTGTTTAAAGCTGCAGCCACCTTGGAGGACTTTCCTGTCAGCGTACAGGATTATGCTGAGTATGTGACTGGGTACATT